CTTCGGGCCTTTCGTGTGATAGAAAAGTGCTGCTTAGACTAAATTTTATAAGATGCTGGTGAGACCTGCAATGCTTTATGGCGCTGAATGTTGGCTTTTAGGAGAGAAGCATAAAACTAAGTTAATTGTTACCAAAATGAGAATGCTTAGGTGGATGAGTAATTACACTTATGGACAAAATGCGAAATGAATATATCCGTGATAGGGTTGGTATAGCTCCAGTGACGAATAAAGTTATTCCCATCATTCAAACAAAAAAAGGAAGAGAAAAGTAATGAATGGTAATGTCCCCATAAAAGATTTGGGCACAAATAACCATATACAACAAAAAAATTATCACACAGATTCTTTCAGGAGCGCATATTATAAGGAGGCTCAATATGAAAAAAAGATTTTGGAAACTTCAAAGCAAGACACCAAGCAGAAACTATATAACATTAGGAGAGAAACAAAAGAATAGAGACATAAATATGTGACATATGTGAGAAAAGATAAACCACATAATCACATATTTTACTTTAAGAAAGAAATAAAAAAATTAAAAAACTAGATGATATCAGCCGAAAAGATTCCCTACGATAATTAATAATTATCTTGCATTCTTTGACATTACCTTCTCTTCTGATGCTTTTAGTATATTAGAGGCGCCCATCCCAACACTTCACACAAATTTATTCCATATACTTCCTATCTTAGTAACAAGACAATAAAAATTGTTCATAGACTTAGAAGTTCGTTGCTGACCAGAAGACAATCTCATAAATAAATCTCTCACACTTCAAAAATGCCCTCTATTTATCTAAATTATTCATCAAAATGTTATCTATCGAAAAGTTAACAATATATTCAAAATACAATGTTATAATATACCCATCACAATGTATGTTTCACGAAAAGAACAAAGGATATTAATGAACTTGCTTAAAAAAGAGATAGTCTCTACCACCTTGAAGAATAAAATGAATAAGGGAGCTCCAAGCTACCAATTGTTTTTTTTTTCAAGAAATTTTTAAATTCAATAAAAAAAGACATGGCTCCAGCAATTGCATCTTGTCCATCCTTCTTTTATTAGTCTAAATACTATTTTAAAATTATTATTATAAAATATTAATATGGAAGAATTTTATAGTGATATTTGTGAGTTAGCAAAACACAAACACGCCATTTTTAGAAACATAAGAACTCAATGCCATTATTTATTCATTCATAGTGACATTTAATTACCATTCTCATCATTTAACAGATTCAAGGATTAATGAAATGTATCTCAGATCTATATCTATCTATATCTACACACACAGATATATATATATAAGCCAAAAGTGATATAGGTACACTTCCCCACCTTTTCAACGTGATAAAAAATTAATTTGATGTTAAAATTTAAAAAACAAGATAATAATGCCTAGAATTTTTGTAATCATTCTCTCTCCATATATTTCCAAAAAAGTTGAATAACACACGAGTCTACTTATGTGAACACACTTCAAAAAAATGGGGTGCCTAAACAAATAAACAAACACCCACTTGCTATGACAAGAGCTCTCCTTTTTCAATCCTTTTACAAAAAAAAAAACATTTATAAATATAATATTCAACAAAAGCTATCTTAACAATTGCTCATATCATAAATAGATAGCAACAAGGATCCTTGAGTTCAAGAGACCTACTCAAGTCCTAATGAAATTCTTTCTTCAATTCAACAACTAAAATAACATTATTCCCAAACTATTTTGAAATATTGCATTTGACCATACACAACCTCATAAAAGAGAAAAACTTAGTTCAAGAGCAATTAAATGTGTTTTTACTAATTACCCATACACATCCTCATAAAAGAAACCTACTCAAGTCCTAACAAAATTCTTTCTTCAATTCAACAACTCAAATAACATTATTCCCAAACTATTTTGAAATATTGCACTTGACCATACACGTCCTTATAAAAGAAAAAAATAGTTCAAGAGCAATTAAATGTGTTTTTATTAATTACCCTTTCATTTAAAAGGGGCATAAATGCCGATATTTTCTCACAAGAAAGGTGTATGTATCTATTGATGCCATATTCAATAAAGAGGATATCTACTTTATTGCTACTTACCTAAAAAAAATATATCATACACAAATAAAATTTTTCACCTAAATCACCCTTCCTTACCCCTTCAACCAAACAAGCAACTCTACTCCAAAACAAGTCACTCTTACACAGATCAAGCTTATACAAAAACCACATCATACTCAGTTATTATAAGTTTATTGACAAAGAAAAGTCACATTAATCAATGCATGCTCAATCAATCAAATCAATCCCTACATTAAACTTGTGATCTAAGCCTACAACCAAAGGTACTTAAACTAAACATCCCTAACACCTGTTCATATTATATAAAAATCTTCCTTTTCATCATTAATCATTTCCTGCCAGCATCAATGCTATTTCAATCCATCAAACCATCTCCAAGGATTTAAATAAACAATAATTGACATTATGTTGTGAAAGAATTGTAAACCATTTAAATAATAAATGGGAATTTATGACGGTAAAGAAGGCAATAAAACTAGTAGTGTGCATGGTTTGTCACTGTTAAGTACAAAACGGAAGGATCACTAGAAAGGCATAAGTTAGATTTGTGGAAAAAAGCTCAGATAAATGATATTGATTACTTGAAACTATTGCTCATAGAGCTAAAATGAGCATTAATGAGTTATTTTATCACGAGATGCTAATAATAACTTAAAAATACAACAATTTGATGTGAAAAATGCCTTCTTGTGGGGCGATATTGAGGAAATGGAAAATGAAGGTTCCACAAAAATTTGACTCAAATATAAAAAAAAAAATATGTAAAATAAAGTTAAAATATCCAAAAAGAGCATTATTGGATATAAACAATTTCCAAAGATACGGTTCAATAGGTTCACTAATGTAATGCTCAACATGTGATACAAATAAAGTTAAAATGATCATGAATTATTTATGAAACACACAAATTCAAGATGTTTGTATTTATGCTGAAAGGTTACATGCCATGCAATTAGTGAGAGGGAAAAGCCCTTCGTGCTTATGACATCATTTATCTCTCTAAAGCTAATATCAATTTATCGTCAACAAATAGGAGAAAATTGTTGACCATATGAGCCTTAATGACCATCTTTCATGCTATGCTAAGCCAATTAATGATTTAATAAACCTATAATATTACGTAATTACTTATTAATTGTTCTTATCTCGTAAATGTTAGCATTTTTAGTATTGGTTTTTCTCTTTCTTCTTTTGTTGGCTCATGACACATCATATTCAATTATGGTGATGCTTCAGCTTCAAATTATTTTGGCACTTGCATTACATCATTCCCTTACTTCACAAGCCACTATCCCTCCATCCTTTCCTCATCCATGAAGCCCTTCAAGTACCTCTTGTCTAAATCCCATCACCTTATCGTTAAATCAAAGTGTTTTCCCTCCCTAGTTGATCAATAATTGCTTTCATTTTAAGTAAAAAAGTCATCAGCATCATTTTTCTAGTACAAGTTGTTCATACCTCCATTAGGATGAAAATAAACTCGTATTAACTGCAATATCTACATAGGGCGTAAGAACCTATTTTTGGGCAGAAGTGCCAATGAAGATAAACGGGATGAAATTGAGGAGATGTGCGAGAAAAAGTAGATAGAGCTTAACTTGCTTCACTTTATCTGCTGGCACGAACGGGAAAAAAAATGACGGCTATTATTTCATTTCATGATATTCTACATAGATATAAAATTTCATTGTTCTTAACTTTTCTGGACCGCCTTCCCCTCTTCTTTATGGTATCATGCCTAAACAAGGAAAATGCTTAATTAACTGCAGGTAAGTCTGAACATGGAAAACAGACCTTGCACTAAAGAGCTAGTCTATTTGTACTAGCATAGTTCCTTCAACCAAGGCTTGTAGTCCTCTCATTCAAGGGATTCTGCAACTCCTAGTTAGCATGCCCGTGTAAAACATGAGATATTTAGACATGGCAATCAGCATTTGTGAAAGGAAAATAACAGCTGACATTAAATTTTAGATTTATACAAATAAATTTCATATCACCTCCGCCCATTAACATCTAGTCCAAACACGTGCATTAGAAGTTTTTATAGGCAGAAGTAATCAATTCTTCTAGGAAACTTGCTTCTTGTTGCTTTTTTCATGGGAATAACAGTTAACAAGCCCATACATTTCCCATAATTACTATTTTCATTGATCATGATTAATCGACAATTTAACCGGATCTTTTGTCGCAGCTATGTAAAAATTGTTCCTTAATATTTTCAAAAAATCATAATTTTCAATTTAAACTGTCAGAACAACAATGTTCCACACTACGCAAGGCACACAAGTGAACGACCAATCACTAGCATATCCATACTCATTGCAAATATATTGGTAGAGTGACATCAATATACTGGAACAAAGCATGGGCAAAAAAATGTAGTACTTTTATACTTCTTCACCATCAAATGTTCACTTATGGTGATACTAAACCAATTCTTTCTTGGAGGGTTCACAAATGGATGATTATTCACTCCATAAGGGGTTATTCAACCTAATCAAAACATGTAATACTTAAAATTGAATGTGCTCTATATCCTGATAGAAATAGAATGCAACATGCAAAAGGGATAAGAGTAATGATGATGATGATGGTACAGAATAAATGATTTCTTCCAATTTAAAGGTACTAAACTAGTTTAGACAAATATATCCAGTACAAAGTCCTCACGAATGAAGAACTGCATTGTTATGATTCTCATATTCGGTTGCTCTTAGACCTACTTATAGATATGTAAACTATCTCAGAAAGTGCCGGAGAACTCATTTCCTTTCTAAAAGCTCAATGAAATCAGATAAAATTTGTGGAGGACAAAGAGCAATATGAAGACATAAAATTTGAGGCCAATAAATCAATGGAAGAAAGCAAGCAAAAAAACTTCCTACATAGTTATAGAAATAGTTAAAAACATTGATACCAGGAATAATCAGGAACTTGGGAGGATCACCGCATCCATTCCCTTTCTCTTCTATTGGCTGGCATGAACCCATCTTGCGATCAACAGCATGGTGCACTTGCCCAGAAGCACCTGTTAATGAGCCATCCACACTGGTATGTTCCCCAGACAAATTCTTGAATTTACTGAAGGGTTCTCCATAGAGTGGTTGAGATCCGATCCACCAGGGAGCCAGTTTGGCCTGGGTAGGCTGACCAAGAGAAATCTGGCTGACATCACTGCTGTTCTTGAAGCACATAATATTTTGCATCTTATAAATCCTCAAAAGCCCAAACAAACAGGATGAGTTGTTATCCTGCCTTCAACTGGCACAGACCAACTCTGACACAAATGGAATGATTCTGGAATTTACACAAATATTGGACGACTAACTAATCAATATAGAAAGATATATAAAGCAAGCTGAACACATAGATTTGATCAAATGTTACCCGCAACTAAATACCCTAGATTTATGAATCATTAACTGAAACGAATGGCCAACAAATAAACTTCAAAGTTGCAAACTCAAATAGGAAGAATAAACAAGCTCATGGCAGAGAATACTGGGAATGTCGAGTCAAATACTCAAATAAGAAGAATAAACAAGCTCATCGCAGAGACAAAAAAGAAGAATCATCAGCAGATACAGATCAAACTGCTGAATAATGATAGATTCAATAAAATTAAAAAAATCTGAAACAATCGTACATTCAGAAACAACCAAATTAAAACGAAACAAAAAAAAAACAGAAATCTTTCAATGAACATTATCTTTCAAGCCAAATGACAAACGAAGCCCGTCTCACAACTAATCTGTTCTCGAGAAAGAAAACAGTAACCACCCCAAAGAAACCTTAAAACGATCTACTGAATCCAATGAAAAAAAAAAAAAAAAAAAAAAAAAAAAGAAACAACTAATCTTGGCAATCAAAAACATGAATCCCAAAAGAGGAGCAAAATGAAAAAGTTGAGAGCAGAATCGGACCAAAAAGAAGTAGACAGACCAAAAAAAGAAGTACAGAGAAAAGCAACAAGCTCAACTTGGAATTTTCATCAAGACATCAACCAAACACAGAAAGAACGCAGAGAAAACTCACATTTCAGTGTCTGAAGCTGCAGACCAGTACAAAGTG